AGCCTGGTATTGGCACAATAACAAGGATATAGACCAATGGAACAAAACAAAGAACCCAGAAATGAACCCAAGGCAATATTCTCAATTAATACTAGACAAAGGAGGCAAGGGCATGCAATGGCGTAAAGACAGCCTCTTTAATAAATGGTGTTGGGAAAATTGGACAGCTACATGCAAAAAAATGAAACTAGACCATCAACTTACACCATACACAAAAATAAACTCAAAAAGAATAAAAGAGTTAAATGTGAGCTGTGAATCCATAAAAATTTTAGAAAAAAATGGAGGCAACAAAATTTCATACTCAGCAGAATTTTTACTGATACATCACCTAAGGCAACAGAAACAAAGGAAAAAATAAACACGTGGGACTACATCAAACTAAAATACTGCTGTACAGCAAAAGAAATAACCATCAAAATGGAAAGGCAACCCACTGTATGGGAGCGCAAAACATTGCCAATGATACATCAGATAAGGCATTAATTTCTAAAATATATGGAGTACTCATACAGTTCAACAAAAGGAAGACAAAGAACCCAATTAAAACATGGGCAAAGGAGCTAAATAGACACCTCTCCAAATAGGACATACAAATGGCCAAGAGACATATGAAGAAATGCTCAACATCACTAATCATCAGAAAGATGCAAATTAAAACAACAATGAGGTATCACCTCGCACCTGTAGAATGGCTGCTATCAACAAATCATCAAGCATCAAGTGTTGGCAAGGCTGTGGAGAAAAGGGGACCCTAGTATACTGCTGGTGCGAATGCAGACTGGTGCAGACACTCTTGAAAACAATATGGTGTTACCTCAAAAAACTAAAAATGGAACTTCCATTTGACCCAGTGATTCCACTTCTAGAAATATACCCTAAGAAGCCTGAAACACCACTCAGAAAGAATATATGTACCCCCATGTTTATAGCAGCACTATTTGCAATAGCTAAGATCTGGAATCAGCCCAAGTATCCATCAGTAGATGAATGGATAAAGAAGCAGTGGTACATATACACAATGGAATACTATGCAGCTGTAAGAAAGAAAGATCTCTTATCCTTTGAGACGACACGGATGGACCTGGAAAGTATTATTCTAAGTGAAACAAGCCAAGCAGAAAAATACAAATACCACATGATCTCACTTATTTGTGGAATATAATGAACATAACTGTTTGAGGAATAGGGTAGACCCAGGGACATGAAAATAGGGTACAGACTGACAACCCTCAGAAGAGGGGATTTGGGGAGGGGGAGAGAAACTACAGATCTTATGTGCATATACGCATAACCGATAGACACAGACAACAAAGCTGGGGAAGGGGTGGGGGGATGGGGAGGAGGATGTCAATGGGGGAAAAAAGGAGAAACATCTGTAACAAAACTAAAATAATTTTTTTAAAACATAAAATATTTTCAAAGATGTTAAAAAAAAAAAAAAAAGACAAAAAGACATCCAAGGGAATTTTGGCAGAATACCACTATTGTTCACAACACCAGAGTTTTTCATCTTTCCCTCCTGTCATTTTTAATGTGTAGGCTTTTGTCCCCATGCTCATCAACTCATGGTCAGAAGTTGGCTGTTCTATATTCAGCCCTATATCTATGGTCTAGGTGGGAAGAAGGGGAGAAGGTGAAAGACATAAAGGGCCAGTTGAATATATCTTCTTTAAAAAGTGTTTCTTAAACCATTATTTTGCCTATATCTTATTGTCCAGAACCATGTCAAATGGTTACCATATCAACTGCATGAGAGTCTGGGAAGGAGTGTGTTTTTACTTGGGCAAATTGCTTCCTAGGACAAAATGAGGTTCTGTTGGTAAGGAAGTAGGGTTGGTGGTAATGGATATTAGATAAGCTACCGTAACTGTGGGTACCTTCTCATTTTATAAAGGATAAACAGAAATTGAGAGCTTTCATAATTTGCTGAAGTTGAACAGACTATAAGTAGTAAACCAAACCTCTGTTCTTAATATGCTGGTTAGTGATTCATGCATTCTCTTTATGGGAGTGTCTTCTGAGCTAGGGACTGTAAATAGAATAGGACAAGTGTTTCATCATCTTGGCACCTCAATAGAAAATAGCCTATAGATTCTATCTTTACCATTTGGTTTTCACTTTTATCTCTTGCATTCATTCCTCATATTTCTAAGTCCCCCAGCCCCAACCCTAACTTAAGATTTGGAACAACTGAATTTACTCCCTTTTGCCTGAGACCTGGAGAAGGAACCTGTTTAACATGACTTTGAGAATGGATGTATTAATAGATCAGGGTGTGTCCTAGAGTATGGAAATAGAGAATTCAGTCCTATTTCTTTCCCTAATGAGAAACTCACACTGATCTCTCATACCTTTGTGCAACTATGTGCTGCAGAGTTGGAATTTTAATATATATTGTACATGTTTTAAGTTCCATGTGGAAAAGGATCATAGCTTAGATTTCTATTTTTTTAAATATGTTTGTATTGCTTTCTTAGAGAGAGAGGAAGGGAGAGAGGAACAATAATGTGAGAGAGAGATACATCGATTAGCTGCCTCCTGCATGCCCCCTACTGGGAGCTGAACCTACAACCCGAGCCTGTGCCCTGACTGGGAATGGAACCGGGACCTCTCAGTCCATGGGAATGTGCTCAATCCACTGAGCCACACCAGCTGGGCTAGATTTATTTTGTGCTTTCATGGTGCCTAGCAGAGTCCAGTATGCATAGCATGTATTTACTGGATGATGAGATTTCTGGGCTACATAGGTAACAGCATGAGGGGAGAATGAATTTTGGGACAAGCCTCTCCCAACTCCCACTGGAGTATCCCAGCTTAAGATTTCTCTACCACACAATTCCTTAACATGAGGCACAAAGGTTCAAAAAAATTCTTTTTTCTTTCTTTTTTGGCTTGTTTTGTGCTATAGATGTGGAGGTTATGAATCAATCTTTTAAGACTTTGATCCAGTGGTTGCATTCTAATTAAATTAGCAATCTTCTTTCTAAATTCCCCAAATTTTAATACTCAGTTTTCTTTTTCAGTTCCAAGTAACTTTACTTATTCAAATAAAATTTTCTTGACAATGTTTCAAAGTATTCAGTAAATACATAAAAATCCCCCCAAAATATAAATAAAATGAGTTTTGACATAATTTTTATTTCTGATATAATAAAATGGACAGAATCCTTCTGGTAATGTTATGGACCATCAAAACAAATGCAAGTAAGTGACAAAAGGCCACTACACATTTGAATATTTAAATAAAAAAAAAAAAACACAAAAAAAAACACTGACTATAATGGTTATGGAAAGTTTTTTTTTTTAAGATACCCAGGTTGAAAGGTATCTAAATATGGAGTCCGAAGTCTCAGGTTAAAGTTCCAATGCAGGTGCATGTTGGCTATTTGATCTTAGGTTAAAGTCACTGAATACCTATCTTGTGTTGGTCACTACGATGGGCACCGGGAGCACAAAGGTAAAAAAAATACAATTCCTACTATGGGAAATTTTACTTAGTTTTGAATCACCAGAAATATCAGACAAATGACCTACTCCAGAAACCAACATTAGTGGATTGTGATATGCTTATGTTCACATAAGAATTTCAGAATATTGAGCCGTTTTATGATAAAATCATTATGGCTTTACATGTTTTTGAAAAATACAGTTTATTCAAGAATACAAACAATGTAATGGATTTATTTGATTACTTAATAATAATCACTTTAAGTACATCATACAGGTACACATGGTCAATATTTAGTTGTTTTTCAGAGAGGATGACATAGATTCCACTTTTATTTTTGTCTCTATAGTAAAATCATTGACAAAGAAATGAAACAAAGTTATATTGTTCTACACTTGTTTGCCCCTATGCAGTAATTCTCAGCCTCTTGTATCTTATGTTCTACCAACAATTATATCCAATAGATCTCAACAAATTAGAAAAAGTCATATTTCTTAAGTATTCTGTTATTATGTTTATCATTTATTGTCAGTGTTAAACCTATGCAAAATTGTAGTAGAAATTAAGGCCTTAAGAAACTATTCCAGCCCTGGACAGTTTGGCTCAGCGGTTAAAGCGTCAGCCTGAGGTCCAGAGAGACCCGGGTTCGGTTCCTGCTAAGGGCACGTACCTCGGTTGCAATTTATCCCCAGCCCTGGTTGGGTCATGTGGGTGGTAACCACTTGATGTGTCCCTTTCACGTCGATGTTTCTCTCTCTCTCTCTCTCTTCCTCCCACTCTATCAGAAGAAAAAATGTCCTCGGGTGAGGATAAAAAGAAACTATTCCATCAGTAGTTGAAAATTTTATTAGTATGGTTGAGTATAAATTATTTTACTACCTTAGTAACAGTAAAACACAAAGATGTTTAATAAAAAATATTGCCATCAATAGATTTATGTAAAATTTTACATCAGATACACGGAACAGAATAAAGGTACTGGCATTCAGATGTCAGGTGATTTGGAAATGAAGTTCGAGGGTGCCAAAGGTGTATCAAGAACACAGTTGGTCCAAAGAAATGAAGGTAAAACAGAAATCAAACGAGTGTTTCATAGTAAGCGAGGTTCTTGGAAAGCTGGACAACAAAAAGACTTGTGCACATAGGAAGAAAGGATTATAAGTTTTATCCAAACTGATAAGTAGATCAAAAGTCACTGATCCCTGGAAGCCTGGGTCAGAAGCATGTTGTACGCCACAAACATGAGGGACAGCCAGTTATTGACATTGCAATACTAATTTTGTATCACATCTTGGACTTATGGCCCTACCATGGTATTTGGATGCCCTAATCTACGTTGTGGCTCAGTGGTTTTTTTGCTTGCTTGTTTTGTTTTTAAGTTTTAGTTTGTTAGATATTCCTAGTGATTCCAATTCTATGTCTGAACTAAAATTTATTTTACTTCTAATGTAAGAATGCCTTGCTTTATGGTTAATTCAGTCTATAAAAATCAGAATTTAAAAAATGAAACAATTAGAAATGAAATTATTCACTTTACAAACACTGGATTTATTTTTCTTAATTTAAAAATTATCTTTGCCTTTTTAACATATTTATATTACCTACCCAGCCATGTAGGCATCTGAAGTTTTAGGCAGCTACTAACTTGGTGTTTGTGAAATAGTCACTTTATATAGCATGTGGTTAGGTTTTTACTTGAGCCCATTGTTTAGAACCAGAGAAAATTATGTCCCTAAGTAGCTCTTTAAAATAGATCTGTGTCTAAAATGAGACTTGTTTCTCCCCAGAGGTCTTAGCTCTAAACACAAAGTTCTCTCTGAACTGAAAGTAGAAAAAAGTAAAGGTCTATATGTCTTCAGAATATTGGTGGTTCTCTTTACCAAGACCCTATTTAATATACCAATACTTGTATTGAGTATGCAGTGATACAGAAGGAAATAAAAAACAGAGCTGAGGATTACAAAAAATATATGCTTTTAACATAATGAGAAAAACATTCCTCAGCATGCTAAGTACTCTCTATTACCCTTAAATGTTATGTGTTTCTCTTTATTTGACAATCTCTTTAATGGTAGCTGTTTGGGCTACTCAAACCAGGATCCACAGCTTTCCAACACATTAAGTTTAAGAGACCTTAAATTTGATATTCTCTCTTGAATGCTCAGATTGGTCCTTTAATTTAATTAGAGCAAGATGGTTATCCTTTACACCTATATACACTCCAGGATTGCTCTTACATTCAAATGAAACACATGTGGAGGGCCCAGGCTCCGTATGAAGAAAAAAGAAGGTCTGGTCTGGCAACAGATTTTCACATTTCTGTAGCTGAGGAAACAAGAGAGAGCAATCACTATGTGAGTAGGAAGTCCAGAGTCAACTTCACATCCCTGTATTAGAAAATAACGGAGAATAATTATTTATAACTTGGTATTTTTACAAAGCTGCTTACTGAGTAGGAGATGGGAAGGGGTGGAAGGGGGAAGAAGTAGAGGGTCAAAGTAGGAGGATTTGATTTGATTCACTGATAGTGTACTTTGAGAGACATATGGCTTAGAATGACTGGATCTAGATGAAACAGTTCTGGATTTGTACCCCTCATTTGCCACATATTATCTCTGAGACCTAGGCACATTGCTTTACTTCTCAAGCCTCAATTTTTTTTTTCTGGTCTAAACAGTTTTCTAGATCAATCAACCCCTAACTTACCCATAGACATGTGAATGATATAAATAATTATTATTTAAGCCACTAAATGTTGGGGATGGTTTGTTACACAGCAATACCTGACCAATACAATAACTCTATCATAGAGTTACTGTGAGAATTAAATGAGATAGTACTTGTAAAACATTTAGCAGGGTACTTAGTATATAACAGAGCTCAGTATGGGTCAGCTCTTATTATTGAGCACTTATATATGGCAAACACTGTTATATATACTTAGGAATGTTTTGTTAAGAGATGCTGGTTATCATCCAGTGTTTATGTTAATACCTTATGTGCTTGTATGAGTTAGCTTTATAATTTTGTGTATTTATATAATTTATCTTCTATATTATACTCTCATGTTTTCTTCCTTGTCTCCACCTTTGGCTTCTTTGTTCCTTAAGATGTTTATAATTCTTCATCATGAACAATAAAATACTGCCATTTACTAACTCAAGAAGACTATGTAGTAAATCTTATTAATAGAATGTAGATTGTTATGCTATCTACAAATCTTGGCATATAGAAATGTTTAATACCTTCCCTTTAGCAGGCTTAGAGTACAATGTCATTTTTACATTTGCCTAAGAAAAATATATTTTACAGACAAACACTTCCTGGAAGAACACTGTAGTTACTAAAGCCAAATAGGGAGGATTTGAGATCATTCTATATAGCAGTGCTTCTCCAACTTTAATGTGCATATGAATCTCCTGGAGATTTGTTAAAATGCTTATTCTAATTCATTTGCGAGGGAGCCTGAAATTCTGTGTTCCTAATATGCTCCCAGGTGATGCTGTACTGCTGGCAGAGACCAGACTTTCCGTAGCAAGGCTATACACATGCCATTCTCTCCCTTTCCTACCCCAGAAGCCAGTTATTGGTAGTAACTGATTATGTTTTATGTATAATAGCACAAACAAAAGTCCTTCTTCGAAATATCCCAAACACCCAAATGTACACAAATAAGTGGTATCAATCATGACAGTTACATGCATATTTCTGTTACCTCCACAGAGTCCTCCTCGTTGTTGGCATGCAGCAAGACGGCTTTGTCTTTTGTAGGACTCAGGCTTACCATTGATTTCTGACCATCAACACTATCACCTTGCAATTAAAAAGAGGTAAATTATAAAATTAAAAATTGTAACTCATTTTCTTTTTTTAAAATTATTTTTATTAATTTGTTTTTGTTACAGATGTTTCTCCTTTTTCCTCCATTGACACACTCCTCCCCATACCACCACCCATTCCCCAGCTTTGTTGTCTATGTCGATTGGTTATGCATACATGCATATTAAGTACTGTGGTTTATCTCCCTCCACCCCCCAACACCTCCTCTTCTAGGGTTTGTCAGTCCGTACCCTACCTATGTCTCTGGGTCAGTTTTGATCATCAGTTTGTTTTGTTCATTATATTCTACAAATAAGTGAGATCATGTAATATTTGTCTTTCTCTGCTTGGTTTGTTTCGCTTAGCATAATACTCTCCAGGTCCCTCCATGTCATCTCAAATGATAAGAGATCTTTCTTTCTTACAGCTGCATAGTATTCCATTGTGTACATGTACCACTGCTTTTTTATCCACTCATCTACTGATGGACACTTAGGCTGTTTCCAGATCTTAGCTATTGTAAATAGTGCTGCTGTGAACATGGGAGTACATATATTCTTTCTAATTGGTGTTTCAGGCTTCTTAGGGTATATTCCTAGTAGTGGGATCACTGGGTCAAATGGCAGTTCAATTTTTAACTTTTTGAGGTAACACCATAGTGTTTTCCAGAGTGGCTGCACCAGTCTGCATTCCCACCAGCAGTGTACTAGAGTCCCCTTTTCTCCACACCCTCACCAATACTTGTTTGATGATTTCTTGATGGCAGCCATTCTGACAGGTGTGAAGTGATACCTCATAGCTGTTTTAATTTGCACCTCTCTGATGATTAGTGACGTTGAGCATTTTTTCATGTCTCTTGGCCATTTGTATGTCCTATTTAGATCCTCCCCCCATTTCTCAATTGGGGTCTTTGTCTTCCTTTTGTTGAGTTGTATGAGTACTCTATATATTTTGGAAATTAACTCCTTATCTGATGCATCATTGGCAATTATGGTCTCCCATGTGGTAGTTTCCCTTTCCATTTTGATGATTGTATCTTTTGCTGTACAGAAACTTTTTAGTTTGATGTAGTCCCATGTGTTCATTTTTTCCTTTGTTTCTCTTGCCTTAGGGGATGTATCAGTAAAAATTCTGCTGCGTATGATGTCTGAAATTTTCTTGCCTACATTTTCTTCTAGAATATTTATGAATTCACGAGTTACATTTAAGTCTTTTATCCATTTTGAGTTTATTCTTGTGTATGGTGTAAGTCGGTGGTCTAGCTTCATTTTTTTTTGCAAGTAGCTGTTCAATTTTCCCTACACCATTTATTGAAGAGACTTTTTTTTTCTTTATTAATTTATTTTTTAAATTTTATTTTGTTACAGATGTTTCTCCTTTTTTACCCCATTGGCAACTCGCTTCCCATCCCCCCACCCCATCCTCAGCTTTGTTGTCCATGTCCATTTGTTATGCATACATGCATAGAAGTTCTGTGGTTTATCTCTTCCCACCTCCACCATCCCTTCTTCTGAGGGTTGTCAATCTGTACACTACTTCCATGTTTCTAGGTCTATCGTATTCCTCAGATGGTATGTTCATTATATTTCATATATAAATGAGATCACGTGGTATTTGTCTTTTTCTGCTTGGCTTGTTTCACTTAAGATAATACTTTCCAGGTCCCTCCATGTCGGAAGAGACTGTCTTGACTCCACTGTATGCTCTTGCCACATTTGTCAAATATTAATTGAGCATATTGTCTTGGGTCAATTTTTGGGTTCTCTGTTCTGTTCCACTGGTCTATGTGCCTATTCTTGTGCCAGTACCAGGCTGTTTTCATTACAGTGGCTTTGTAGTATAACCTGAAATCTGGTAATGTGATCCCTCCTACTTTGTTCTTCTTTTTTAAGATTGCTGTGGCTATTCGAGGTCTTTTTTTGGTTCCATATAAACTTTTGCAGTGTTTGTTCCAGTTCTGTGAAATATGTCATTGGTATTTTGATGGGGATTGCATTGAATCCATACATTGCTTTGGGTAATATGGACATTTTAATTATGCTAATTAATCCAATCCATGAACAAGGTATGTGCCTCCACTTTTTTATATCTTCCTCTATTTCTTTTTTTAATGACCTATAGTTTTCTGTGAATAGGTCCTTTACTTTGGTTAAGTGTATTCCCAGGTATCTTAATTTTTTTGCTGCGACGGTAAATGGGATTGTTTTTTTAGTTTCTCTTTCTGTGAGTTCATCATTGGTGTATAAGAATGCTGTCGATTTCTTGCCATTAATTTTGTATCTTGCTACTTTGCCAAATTCATTTATTAAGTCTAGTAGATATTTGATGGAGTTTTTAGGGTTTTCTATGTATAATATTATGTCATCTGCAAATAATGGCAGTTTCACTTCCTCCTTTCCAATTTGGATCCCTTTTATTTTTACTTCTTGTCTGATTGCTGTGGCTAAGACTTCCAGGACTATGTTAAATAAGAGTGGCAAAAGTGGGCATCCCTGTCTTGTTCCTGTTCTTAAGGGAAATACTTTTAGTTTTTCCCATTGAGTATGATGTTGGCTGTAGGTCTTTCATATGTGGCCTTTATTATGTTGAGATATGATTCCTGTATTCTCACATTGCTGAGCATTTTTATCAGAAATTGGTGCTGGATTTTGTTGAATGCTTTTTCAGCATCTATTGATATGATCATGTGTTTTTATCCTTCATTTTGTTTATGTGGTGTATCACATTTATTGATTTGCGAATATTGTACCAGCCTTATATCCCTGGGATGAATCTCACTTGGTCATGGTGAATAGTTTTTTTGATGTATTGTGATCCTATTTGCTAGTATTTTGTTCAGGATTTTGGCATATATGTTCCTCAGGGATATTGGCCTGTAGTTTTCTTTCTTCGTAGTGTCTTTTTCCGGTTTTGGAATTAGGATTATGCTGGCCTCATAAAATGAGTTTGGAAATCTTCCTTCTTCTTGAATTTTTTGGAATAGTTTGAAGAGAATGGGTATTAGAACTTCTTTGAATGTTCGTTAAAACTCCCCCATGAAGCCATCCGGACCTGGGCTTTTGTTTGCTGGGAGTTTCTTAATTACATCTTCAATTTTGTTAGTTGTTATTGGTCTGTTCAAGTTTTCTATCTCTTCCTGGTTCAGTTTTGGGAGGATGTGTGTTTCTAGAAATTTGTCCATATGTCCTAGATTGTCCAACTTGTTGGCGTATAATTGTTCATAGTATGTTTCTATGATTCTTTGTATTTCTGTGGTGTCAGTTGTTACTTCTCCTCTTTCATTTCTGATTTTGTGTATTTGGTTTCTCTCTTTTTGTTTCTTGGTGACTCATTTTAATTGAAATGAATTTAACATCCAGAAAACAAGTTTACGATGTCTTATAAAATAACTACTTCATTCAGCAATGTCTATTAAAAATTTGCACCCAAATGAAACTAAAGAGTCATTGGACAAGTAGGGGATAATTCTAAGTTCCTTGAAGAAGACAGGTTAGTTTTCTTACGTAGTTTCTAATTGTGGAATTGTGACTCTAATGAGTATTTCTCTGGGCGTGAACTTCCTTGTCTGCATGTAAAGCCACAGATAGTTATCTCCCAACATTCAACTTCTCTTCTTGTGATAGAACATTTCTCAGCCTGCCTTTTTTTTTTTTTTTTTTTTTGTAGCTAAGTGTAGCAATGTGACTAAGTTCTGACCAGTGTGAGGCTAACGGAAATGTCAGGTGAAACTTCCAGGTTGTGCCCTTAAAGGGAAAGAGAGTCCATGTATCCATCTCCTCTGTTCTGTTAATGGACATTATCAAGTAATCTTAAAACATGTGTATGCTGGCAGAGCCACAACGAGAAAAGGAGCCGAGTCCCTGGACAACCTGTTCAACAGAACTGCCATTCCAGCCCTCGCTAAGACAGAATAAAGTTTTGTGTAGCTTAAGCCACTATTATTTTGGGTCTCTATTAAATGTAGCCAAACATTTATTCTATTAAATACCAAATGGGCCCTGGATGGTTTGGCTCAGCGGTTAGATCATCGGCCCACAGACAAATGAGGCGCGGGTTTGATTCCAGCCAAGAGCATGTGCCTTGATTGCGATTTGTCCCCCCGCCCCGGTTGGGTTGTGTGGGAGGCAGTCACTTGATGTGCCCCTTTCACGTCGATGTTTCTCTCTCTCTCTGTTCCTCTCTCTTTTTCCCACTCTATCTGAACAAAAATGGAAAAATGTCCTCGGGTGAGGATATAAATAAATAAATAAATAAATAAATAAATAAATAAATAAATGCAGCTGGCAAGTGAGGGGGGCAGAGCAAATCTCATGGGATGACCCGCTGCTCCCCATACTGCCGCCAATATTGGAATAAATGGTTCATGTACGATTCAACCTTGTTCCTGCTTAATTGGCTCAAGTAGTGACAAGCAGCCTAGACCCATTTGTTGTTCGGTTTCAAAAAAAAAAAAAAAGTAGCAAAATGGTTGGGGTAGAGTAAATCCTCTAAGAATCTAAGGTTTTACTATGAGCTTAGGCTGGAAAAAAGCTTCTGAGACCACCTTTCTTTTCACATGGAACATTTTGGGATTTATCTTTACTCATATTTAAGAATTCAAGCTTTACAGCTATCCAGACCTTCAAATTACCTGTTTCACTTTCAGATGGTTGTGAATCGTAGAAACGGAATAAAACTTTGTCTGAAAGAGAATGCATAAAATTCCTTTGGTGATTTATCAAAAGGTTTTAGTTCCAATATATACATAATATCAGAAAATATCCTTCTCTTTTATTGTATATCAACAAAAGCTAAATTTGTGGTTTTGAGAAAGGTTTCAAAATGTATGCTTCGATGAATTTATCATAAAATATTTAAAATATTGTTCATAGCACTGGTATATCCTTTTTTTTAATTCTCACCTGAGGATATGGTTATTGATTTTAGAAAGAAAGGAAGGTAGAGAGAGAGAGAGAGAGAGAGAGAGAGATTGGTTGCATCATATACGTGCCCTGACCGGGATCAAATCTGAAACTTAGGTATGTGCCCTGACCAGAAATAAAACCTGCAACCTTTTGGCTCATGGGACAATGCTCTAACCAACTGAGTTACCCAGCTAAGGCTCTTTTATTAGAGGTTTTACTCTCTTATTAGAGGTTTTACTTAGGTGATATTGATAAGGTTGGAGAGATCTAGTAGGTAACTTAGCAATATCAAGTATGTATGGTCCTCCTTTCATTTTTCATGATAGATACCATTTCTCAATATCAGCATTCTTTCCTGATGAACCCTGACTAAGCTCTGAATCCTCCTCAACACAGTGATATTCAGGCATCCATTACCAGTGCATCGAAGTTTGCACACAGCATAAAATATGTTTGCCATGTCTGAGTTAATCCATTGTTTATGGTTTGGTAAACTTATTTTTTACTTAATAGTCATCATTATATCACTATAGACAAGAGGAAATTGTCTACCTTTCTTTTGTTCTTTTCTCTCATCTTCAACATAGATCTCATAACTTCCATCCACATGAGCAAAAGTAATGGCTTGATTGTTGTATGTGCTCAGGCAAAAAGAACGTTCTGTAACAAGTGAAAATCTTGTTAAAATTCAAAAGCTTGTTCTCATAAACAATCATTTAGTAATTTAAAAAATGCCTCCTCAAAGACTTTTTTAAATTATTATTTGAGCTGTACTTTGTCCATCACTGTTAGATAGAAAAAATGTTTGGTGCAAGTTTAACATAGTTCAAAGACTGAAGTGTGTCACTTGAATGAGATTAAAAATGCCAATTTACTACATGAAGGCCATGGGAGACCATGCTAGTATGGTTTTTGTTTTTGTTTTTGTTTTTGTTTTTTTGGAGGGGGATACGTTTATATTTCAGAATAAAGTTTACAAAACTTGCTAATAATTAGATGTGGGGGTAAGCAGAAAAAGAGCTTTCTTTTCAAGATATTCAGCTTGAGAAGCTTATTAAATCCACAAGAAGAAATATTAAATAGTGCGTATCCACATCTGGAGCTCAGGAGCGAGGTTTGAAGGTGAGCAAGAGACTGGTATTTAAATCAGTGGGTCCGCATGAGTTCACTGAGGAAGTGAGATCACATGACTGTCGGCAAGCCTCAGAGACATGCTAGTATGTTTATGGGAGGTTTTGGTGGGGAGAAAGAAGTTGGAAAAGTGACAGACTGTCTGAGGAAACTTCTGCTTCCTGACTCCCCATGGACTAGGAAATTGTTGGCAAGAATGGACAGTATTTAAATAAACATGGATAAATAAATATCCATCTATAAGGTGTGGAGTTACTCTGAAACATCCCCCAGTCCTGGAGAATAGAGGTGTGAGTCCCATTCTGTCCTCTGGCTAAATAGCAGAGACACTTAGAGTAGTACTCCAACTTTTTTTTAATGTTCCAATACACGTGGAAAATGATAATATTTCAATGGGTCCTGGAGAAAAAAATTACTAAATTTTCTTTACATTATAGAATTATGCTAAGAATATATACAAAATATTGAGTAAGAATGTTAAATGTTGAATTTGTATGTACACTTCTAAAGTAAAATGATTTAAAGATACTTAGTGAGAAATTTCAGTATGATTCTGGTAACTTAAGATATTTATGTCAGGAATAATGCTTGAAATGTCAACATGCAATTCCCAGTCAACTTTCTTAATGATCTCTTCACTTCTTGATGTCACCATCAACTTAGACTTCATTTGTTCAAGTAAGTGATGCAATTTAAAATAATTTTAACAACTATTTAAAGTGTTTGGCCCTGGCCGGTTTGGCTCAGCGGTTAGAGCGTCAGCCTGCGGTCCGGAGAGACCCGGGTTCGGTTCCCGCTAAGGGCACGTACTTCGGTTGCAGTTTGTCCCCGGCCCTGGTTGGTCGTGCGGGTGGCAGCCACTCGATGTGTCCCTTCACGTCGATGTTTCTCTCTCTCTCTCCCTCCTACTCTATCTGTACAAAAATAAAAAAAATAAAAAAAATAAAGTGTTTGAGTCAAAAGTATAATTAAAAAATATAACAGCACCTCTTTTTTTATTGTCAAATGTTGAAATTTAGGGGGGATAATGTATTGGGTTTTTATCCACAAAGGATAATACATTTTCCTCAAGAATAATGTATAGGAGATTTCAATCCATAGCAAACACGTAAAAATAATGATGGAGTGCTAACTATAGAATGTGCATGCATTGTTGGAGCAGCTACCCTGCACCTATTTTAGATACCACCAAAGGGCACATCAGCAGAAAATGGACAGAAGTCTCTAATATGCATATGCGTGAGGACACAGAATTGGGGCTGCTTCTTAGAGCAGCACTTGCCAGGGTCCTCTGTCTTACCTCCCTCCTCACCCCCACACCACCCCTTTGACCAGTCACACCTTGGATACTTGAATCATTAATTGTTCTAGTATGTTTCTGGACCATAGGTATATCAAAGGCGAAGGCCTCCGCAGATCGTTCAAGGTCTTCCAGGTGCTTCTGACAGGCAGTGAACACCAGATGTGGCTCTTTGTAATTTCCAGCTGTAGGTCAGGGGTGAGGTTAGGAGTGGACTATCAGTCCCCACTTTGACTGGATTCCCCCCCCCCATGTCCCCACCCCAACTTTTAAAAGTCACAGTCAAGGCTGCTTGCTGACAGTGGTGACTGGCCCCAGGGCTTTTGCCATCCCATGGTTTGAAGGGATCAATGCCTCCTAGCAGACTTAACACCCCAGAAAGGCATACCCGTTGTGATCCGGGCAGAAGAAAACCAGTCACCCATGTCTTAGCACCCAAAAGGTAACTACTATGAACATTTGAATTTATAGTGCTTCCTTTAAATGAAAAAAAAAAAAAAATCTCTTAAAAGATATTGTAAATATACAGGCATACTTCACTTTATTGCATTTTGCTTTATTGTGTTTTATTGTGTTCTTACAAAGAGGGAGAGACCCTTTACCAGCAAAAGATTATGACTCGCTTGATTGTAATACTTTCTTTATTGTGGTGGTCTGGAACGAACTTGCATGTTTCTGAGGTATGCCTACATATACAATTTTATATCCTGTTTTCACTTAACATTGCAACATAACCATTTCTCCCATTATATTAAAAACTCTTTAAAAACCTTTTTTAAATGGCATAAAAAAGTTTATTATATTTACTCTTTTCTAGAAAGAAAATTTGAGTGAGGAAAAAAAAAATATATCTAGATGTAGTAACTGAAGGCAAGTAGATGTTCATCACTATACTGAAGGATTACCAGGAAATGTAGTTTTCCCTTACCTGTTTTTGGTGAACTACTCGTGGTGGTTTCTTTCCTAACGTAAAATGACTTTTTTTCTTTTCCAGAGCGTAGCTTCATAAAGTACACCTGGCAAACTTCTTTGGTCTTCTGTTGAGATTCTAAACAAATGAAAAAATTGTCAGTCTGTATCCCACTTCCGCGTCTCTGGGACAATCCCCTAAATAGGGGGGTGGGGTGGGGGAGAGATAAACCACAGAACTCATATGCATGTATGCATGTATGCATGAACAGTGGACATGGACGAACAAACTGGGGAAAGGGCAGGGAGGGACGGGGAGGGGGGAATCAGTGGGGGGAAAAGGAGAAACATCTGTAACAAAAATTAATTAATAAAAAAAAAAAAAAGACATGAGGGAAATTGAGTTGGGCCTCAAATCATAGGAAGAATTTTCAGAGCCTTATATGGGATCCAATCCCAGTCATCAGTTTAAACATAGCCAAAGTCTGCTCGTTTTCCCCTTTTGTAGCATAGGAAGCAAATTTCTTTAAACATTATTTTAATAACCATTATGTTAACTGTTTATTATGTTATGTGACTGTTTCTGTGCCTTGCTATTCCTTGGTCCATTCTATGTTTAAATCAAAACAATAACAGGCCTAAAACTTTAAATAATTTAAGTCATTTTATCTCTAAGTAATACAAAATATTTTGCCAATCAAAAAAAAAGAAAAAATTGTGATACTGTTTCATTCTATCCATTTCCATCCTTTTACAAACCCTGAGTATAGCAGACCAAGAAAGCACTGCAGATCCACAGTATTTTATCAGAAACTTTGGGGCCACTTGTGTTTCAAGATTGAGAGATTTTTAGATTTTGGAATTGTCATGTAGAACATGTATGGTATATATTTAGCACTCTCAGCAGGGACTAGGATGGTACCCCAAATTCAAAAATTAATAGTGTTGTTGTGAAATATAGTAAATGTTATATAAGGTGGAATAAAGAGCTCATGGTAGCCTTGGCCAGTGTGGCTCAGCGGTTAGAGCGCCAGCCTGTGGTCCAGAGAGACCCGGGTTTGGTTCCCGCTAAGGGCATGTACCTTGGTTGCAGTTTGTCCCTGGCCCTGGTTGGGTCGTGTGGTGGCAGCCACTCGATGTGTCCCTTTCACGTCGATGTTTCTCTCTCGATGTTTCTCTCTCTCTCTTCCTCTCTCTCCCTCCCGCTCTATCTGAACAAAAAACAAGAAAATGTCCTCGGGTGAGGATGAAAAAAAAAGACCTCATGGTAGGTCAGGTCAGGCTTTAACTGTCAGGTGAGTTCAGGTCACAATTTGCTGCCAAATGAGTTATGAAAAACTTTAAGTCTTTAGAAAAAATGTTTATCAGAATTTCATATAAAGGAGTGTGGACCTACATCCAACATATACCAATCTTTGCCTAACTGAGGGGAACTCTTATGGTCATATGAAGTAGATAATCTTTTCTACTTATCTGGAATAAACTTTTAATAATTTTTGAAGGCATGGCTGTAGTCTGTAAAGATTTTAAAAATAGCTGTCATTTACAAAGTTTCTGCATTGGACCAACCACTGTGATAATAATTTTACATACTATGTCATTTAATCCTTCCCAATAATATAGCAAAGCAAGTATTATCCTCCTCACTGTACAGATGATGATCTAAAAGTGATGACACTTGCCTAAGATTATAGGTCTGGTGAGAAGTTGTGACTCAAGTGTGTCTAACATCAGAGCTACTCTTTCCATCTACCCCATCTGAGAAAATACTACATTGTGATTTTAGGAACTAATAAAATACAATCTCAAATCATTTGAAGTAAAAGAAATTAATTATTCAGTAATTCTAATTTTATTAGAATTTAATTAGCCAAAGGAAAATTGAAGTCTCAAAAAATTAAATTTGCTACTTGGAAATCATAAAAAGACTTTCAGAGACAAATAGAAAAGAAAGTTGTAGCATTTGAGTCATAAGATCTCAACTTTCAACATTATAGTAAGTGAATTATTTAGCAATTTCAGAAAATTAAAATAATTACATGTGAATTTGGGATCCATTCTGTGATTTTTTTTTTTATTCTCTAGAAGATTTGCCTTCCTACTATGCTTTTCAAAGTCAAGTGGAACAAACATTTGTAAGCTACTATTTTGAATTATTTGTGTCTTGCCTCCAATTTAGATGGGCATCTACCTTTAAGTATCTTCAACTGTCTGAACAGGGCAAGATCACTTAATTATATTCACACCTGGAACTCCCTAACATTGCTTCAAAATTCAGAAATCTCAACTATGGCATCTCACATTTATATAGTGTTTTTAGAGTTACAAAGATAATTTACAAAGCCGTGCCAGCGCCATCACTGGACTTGGTCTTCTGACAGTTCATTTCACATAATATTTTATTTACTGTATACATTCTCTTTTCAGAGCTAAAGGTATAAAATGATACGTTAAGCATGCTCATTCCTTATATATTTATCAGTATCTCATAGGGAGACTATGTCCGACAGGAACATGACAGGCATGTCTAATATAAAGAGAGGACTCTGTGGGGAGTGGGATATGGGACTCCGGTAGTTTAGAAGTGAGGGTCATGATACTGAGGAAGTATTGTAGAAGGATAAGAAGAGATGGGTTCAAGATATGGATGTACAGATGAGCATCTAGTGGGACAAACACGGGCTGTAATTCATTGGGGGAGACTATAGTTGAAGTGTTAAAGACACTTTACATGGGGAGTATTTGAAAGAAGGTATACTTTGGTGTTTCGGGCAGCTGGAAATGTGGTGTGAGAGTTGTGTTCTCAAGAGGAAAGCACAAAGCGGATATGGCCATGGGAACTGTGTAGAAGAGACTGCTCCACTGGGGTCAAAGGACCAGGTCAAGTTTAGGTAAGGGCTGTTGCCATTTCCTAAGTCTCCATCATGTTTGCTGTCTGAGGGCAGTGTCTTACTATGACTTTTAAAAAAATAACTGGGCCACCACCACATAGCGGAGCCCAGCAGATCAGGTCGAGGGGTGCTGCTGCCGGGCGGCCTGAGTCTATGGTCGCTCCTCCAGCCGCTGAGCCGGCTGCTGCTTTTTTTTTTTTTTTGTCAGGGCAAGCTGTGTTCCATTACAGGGAACTTTTGGCAATGGATTTTGGATAAACAAGCTCTGTTGAAGGAATGACGAAAGGACTTTAAGTTTCTCTCAGAAGAAGAATATTAGAAATTACAAATATTTTTTACAAATGTCATCCAAGCATTAGGTGAACATCTTAAATTAAGACAAGTTATTGTCACTACTACAGTCTATTTCAAGAGATTCTATGCCAGGTATTCTCTGAAAAATAGAGATCCTGTATTAATGGCTCCTACATGTAAATTTTTTGGCATCCAAAGTAGAGAAATTTGGAGTAGTCTCAAATACAAGACTGATTTCTGCTGCTACTTCTATATTAAAAACTAGGTTTTCATATGCATTTCCAAAGGAATTTCCTTATAGGATGAACCATGTATTCGAATGTGAATTCTATCTTTTGGAACTAATGGATTGTTGCTCAATAGTATATCATCCTTATAGAGTTTTGCTCCAGTGTGTGCAGGGCATGAGCTAAGAAGACATGTTGCTTCCCCCTGCATGGAGGACAGTGAATGATACCTACAGAACAGATCTTTGCCTACTGTATCCTCCTTTCATGATAGCTTTAGCTCTTCTATGTGTAGCCTTTGTTGTACAACAGAAAGATGCCAGACAGTGGTTAGCGGAGCTTTCTGTGGACATGGAGATTTTGGAAATAATCAGGTTATATTAAAACTATATGAACAGGCCTGGCCAGTTTTGCTCAGCGGTTAGAGCATCGGCCCACGGTCCAGAGAGACCCAGGTTTGGTTCCTGCTAAGGGCACGTACCTCAGTTGCAGTTTGTCCCTGGCCCCGGTTGGGGTTGTGCAGGAGGCAGCCACTCGATGTGTCCCCTTTCACATCAATGTTTCTCTCTGTCTCTCTCTCCCTCCCACTCTATCTGAACAAAAATGGAAGAATGTCCTCAGGTGAGGATAAAACAAAACAAAACTATATGAACAGTGGAAGAATTTTGATGAGAGAAAAGAGATGGCAACTATTCTTAGTAAGATGCCAAAACTAAAACTGCCTCCAAATAGTGAAGGAGAGTAGGGTCCAAATGGAAGTCAGAATTGTAGCTACAGCCAATCTTAAAACATTCTGAAGAATTCCATAGTGGACCAGTTGGAAATAAACCATTGGACAAATTTCAGTAATGTCTTCAATGGAACATAAATAACATGAATAGCTTATTTCTGTCAAGCATATTGGGAAGTGATTTTATTTTTGTAAAATAAGTTTTTCCTTAATTTGATTCTAACACATAATTGATGAAAGTCTCTTGATTACAGAAGTTTGGGAAGGTTCTAAAGGAACCTACAGACAGACATTTCAAAATGAATAGCTTTTGCTTAATAATTTTTCTTAATTTGGATAATAGTAATTGTAGTTTAAAAAATTTTTTTTCTTTATTGATTTTAGAAAGAGAGGAAGGGAGAAGGAAAGAAAGATAGAAACATCGATGAGAGAGAACATCAATTGGCCATCTCCTGCATGCCCCTCACTGGGGATCGAGACCACAACCTGAGCATGTGCCCTGACCGAAAATCAAACCAGCAACCTCTTGGTGCATGGGTCGACACTCAGCCACTGAGCCACACTGGCTGGGTGAGTAATTGTAGTTTTTTTATTAAGCCAGGAAACATGAAGCATAATTTATTTAAAATTCTCTTTGGTCATTAAAGGACCAAAAAAGGACATAAAAGTGAAATATATGAGGGTATTTCCCCCTCTTTAAGTCAAACTTTAAAGGTGTATTTAAGGAATGAAATCTTACAAAATCCTGGAAGATTTTGGTAATGATGTTGATAATTTCAGGGAAATTAATCAAATACCTATTGATTTTAAAGTGTATTTTATTCAGTAGTTTTATTGTCTTGCCATGAAAGATACTAGCCCAGCCTAGTAGAAAAGTGCAATATGTATAGCATACTTTGACATTTAAAAGTTATATTAATTCTGTAACTATTTTGAAATGCTGGGCAAACTTTTTAAAAAACATACATGAAGTTATTTGCATTTGATTCACAGTTAAATCAAGCAGTTAGAAAGCTAATTGGATAAAATATAATATGGTTGAAATTTGGTAACATTTTAATGTTAATTTTTACTCTACTGTGAAAAACTTTTTATATGACATGCACACTCTAGTTTATTTTTATGTCTTAATGTGGATTTACAAATTTATTACAGGTACCCTGAGCCAGGAACACAATCAGGTTTCAGGCCAGTTTGATACTGGCTACTCTTAATTCTCACGTGAGTGTAGGACTTAAGACTAAATGTTATGTCACTGGGACTGTGCTGTCTGTGGATTTTAATAAATTAATCATTTTCTTCAGACTTGAAGGAGAGTGATAAATAAAATTTGGAGTCATAGGATATCGATGTATAATTTAAGGATTAAAAAAATTTTATAAGTCAATTGTGAGCAATGAATTATGAAATTAAATGCTGATTTCCTAGTATAAAACTACAAGAATAAAAGTACATTCTCCAGCTAAAAAAAGAAAACAACTGATTTCTCGTAACTAAGAGTTACCAACTATGTTGAAATCTCTCAGGCATTCCTGGTGAGTAAATGGGAAAGGGCCTAGAAATCTGCCTGTAGTTTGGCCACTTGGAGAGCCAAAATATAGCTGACAGGAACTACAGAAATGAATCACTTTGTCTTTCATTTCTCAAACACTTTTTCACCAAGTTATCTTCTCCCTGCTTACTACCTTTTGCCTGTCTGTGGAATTTGACTTGGAGGACCACGTATTTCTTTGATCTCTTCTGCCCTTATTGTCGTGGCCCCAGTCTTCTTAGGTTCTTACTTCTCTCTGATCCGTCCATTTCCGTCTCTCTCTCTCAGTTCTTTCTCCTTTACCTGCTCCTAAATGTGGATATTCCTCAGGATTTTGTCCTTTGCCTTTTCCTCTCACTCTAGACTTTCTTTCTGAATAATCACTCCAACTCCAATGACTTCAATCATCTTTTTATATGCTGATGACTCCTCAAACTGTAACTCTACTTTTTGTCCCTTTCCTGAGCTTTGTATCTGTTCCTCTTTTTCCACAAGGCATTTTGACTTCAGCTTCCTTAAAGCATCTCTATATAGAGCCTCCTGAATTCTGGACATCTCTACTGGATGACCTACACCTCCTCCAAATAAAAATATCCTCAGACTAAAAAAAACTTTAGCCCAGCTGGTGTGGCTCAGTAGTTGAGTGTTGACCCATGGTCCAGGAAGTCACGGGTTCAATTCCTGGTGAGGGCCCATGCCCAGGTTGTGGGCTCAATCCCTGGGGGGGGAAGGGGGGGCTCTCTCTAAAAAAATCAATAAAACATATTTAAAAATTGTTTTAAAAAACTTTACATTTTCCTAACCCCAATATATTCTTCTAAAGTCCCTATCTTGAAAAACAGTACTACTATTTACCATTGTCTGCCCAATTAAATCAGAAAATTGAGAATCACTCATTTCTCCCTCTTTTGTCCATCCCTCAATTTATTCTCTCATTAAATCTTCATGATTTCATCTTCTGAATGTATGTGAAAATCAATCCTTCCTTTCTTTTCTGTTGTCTTAGATCAGGCCCTCATTATCAGTCCCCTAGATGAATGTATTAGACTTCTGACCAGTTTTAGTTTCTACTCTTGCCCCTTACTCTTGTGTCACACCACCACCAATATAATGTCACTTTTCTAAAATAAAAATATCTCGTAATTCCTCCAATTAAATATTTTCAATTAATTCTGTATTATCCACAAGCCCCTTCATGATAACAGAAGATTTTCTGTGGACAGACCGAAATTAAAGGACGTGGTCTCTACTCAGTTCTATCCCCAACTGTTGCCATGTAGGAATAGAAGTCAGTGTTACTAGGTCTTCAGATTTTTTTTAGAAAAACCACACATTCAAAATTTTATGCAAAATTTTCTAATTTTTCATTGTTGCCTCAATTAAAAAACATCAGTGATAGTGTTCAGGCCAAATAAAATAATAATTATGCTGGGTGTATCTGTCTCAAGACTCCCATATTGTGACCTCTGAAAATATGCACAAGCAAGTGGATTGTCAGGGAAGGGAAAGAATAGTTGGATGTGGAGGAGAGGAAGTAGCAGAGAATGGACTGACCCTGGGGAGTAGCTTCTTGGAAACTTGGAATAGAATGATTTTTAGGAGGGACTTTCCTCCAGCTCATGAAGTTCTCCTGTATCCTGTGGGCACTAAAAATAAAATGGCCCGGTGGTGACCAGAACTCATAGGGGTCCTGACTGTATGGATACCTATAGTGGTTAGATAATGAGTTTTGTAGCTTTGTGAGCTGTGGATCGTATCAGATCCTGCTAGCCCAAGGGAGGAAAAGGAATTAAAGTAAGCTTTCTTATTTTCTTGCTTGAGGACTCAGAGCATTTTCTTTAGAAAGATATGACATTTCTTGCACCTTGAGTTTTGACTGTGGTTCATACCTGTCACACCTCACAAGCTGTCTTTTGAGTTTTAGGCCAGGAGTGTTTATTTAAATAAAGACAAGTTTAGTATTAAACTGAGCCAATATTATTGGAAAGAAAGATTTGCTATGGGACAATTAAAATAATGCGATGCATTCCAAAGTCATATAAGTGATTTGGGGGATATCTTTATCACTAAATGGTATAAATAAACCACTGCGGCCTTAAAGGAGATGTTACATTTTAATTTTTGCATCAATGCCAGTAAGTGGTGTAAACTCCAGCTTGCTCCTTTATTCCAGTATCTTAAAGAACCCACGTTTCCTAAGGTACAAAGACAGTATATTCTTCATTAAGAGGGGATTCGGGGATGCAGAGTCACTTCCAATGAGTCACTATTTCTGCACAGAGCATTTTGACTCAGACTCAGATAAAAGGACTAACTTAACTGTGATTTCTTGGCCATTTAAAAGCCACAGTCAAATTAGTGTTTTCCCTGGTTACCAGAGAACACCATGGGTGGGCCAGAGCCTTAGGGAGGACAGAAATAATGCACTTTAACACTGCTTTCTCTTTTCTAGCCTTAAAGATGTTCAGGGAAATGGGGAGGAGTCCAAAGGACAAGGATATGTGGTCCCCACCATCATTCCTCATCCTCTGTTTTGCTCTAGTCCACCAGGGTTCTGTTAACTCTTTTGTATAACTGCTATTGTATGAAAAATATAAGTATAAGTTTGTATAATTATTGCCTAGGATAGATAATATAAAGATCAAAGAAGTATATAGCCCTTTCATCTTAAAGCTATGGCTTCTACCTGGTTCTTTTTTACCCTTCATCTTATTCCAAACCCTTTGAATTTATAACTGGATAGGATTGAGCATTGTTTGGTCAATTCTGCTTTATTTGGGACCTGGATTATTCAACTATTTTCACTTGTATTCTCTCCTTTATCAGAAATTGCAAGTTAAGACCACAAGCTTGATACACCAAAGGTCTTAATAAATGTTTGTTGAATGAAAGTGGATCTATTCAATTTTGTTAATTAATCTGGGAAGCCCTGGCTGGTTTGGCTCAGCAGTTAGAGCGTCGGCCTGTGGACCAAAGAGTCTCGGGTTTGGTTCCCGCTAAGGGCACATACCTTGGTTGTAGTTTGTCCCTGCCATAGTTGGGGTCCTGTGGGTGGCAACCAGTCGATGTCTCTCTCTCTCTCTTCCCGCCTCTCTCCCTCCTGCTCTATCTGAAGATAAATGCAAAAAATGTCCTCGGGTGAGGATAAAAATAAAATAAAATAAATCTGGAAAAATGTTTTTGGGATTTTGTGGCAGGAGGTATGGGTGGAAAGAAGGGATTGATATGAAAGACTTTAACTGTTTATCACTATTTACAGGTTTAAATTATCTGAGCCATTCCTGTCCTGTGATGCATCAAATAAGCAGAAGTTGTCTGTATGTAGTTTGTTTAAACCCAAGCTGCTGTATTACACACATTCAGCTCTGTATTCTTAGTAACTTTCGGTAAGGTAGCATATATGAACATTAGATAATAAAGATTTGATAACAGATAAAAAATAATGTATAAAATAATCAGAAATGCTTGAAAACTTACTTCTCAACCTAGTAGATTTTACCGGGGCTTTTCCTGCTGAGTTGTTCATCTTTGCTGGGGAAGTTTTGGTGGCTCGATACTTCATTTCAGGCTTTATTTTTCAGCCTTCTGTTGGATTAATTATAGTATTAGTTCAATTGTCTCAACTTGAAAACAAAGAAAAACAACTATGGCTAGTTCAATATAAAATTGTTAACATAACTACCAAGAGAAAATAATTATTTCAGTAAAATTTGAACATAGTATTCTGAATATGTATCTATGCTGGAATATAGGACAAAAAGAACTGCAAAGAAATCTTAAACTTTACTTAGTGGTTTTTTTGTTAATGGTAATATTGGTATTAGAATTCTGACACCGTTTGCTATACTATAGGATACAGCAGATAAGTAGATGTATTGATATTATAGGATTTTCACTGTAGGAAAAAGGAGATATAAATGAAGAAGAAAAGAATCCCAGGGGAAATTCCTATGATGTTAAATTTGAATCAGCAATATCAGTATGCTCATATCTTATTTTCTAAGTACTTTTTTCACCAAAGGGAACCAGGACTCTGGCTGTGGGCTGGGAAAGTAGAAGTGAACGTGCAATACCTTGTTGTACCAGAAAGCAGCGAGTCATTAAAAAACTAGTGAAGTTGTGTCAAAAGGACACATGAAGGTTCTCCTGCTGGCCAAATTTGGCACAATTTGAGTATCAAAAAGAATAATGAGCCCTGGCCGGTTTGGCTCAGCGGTTAGAGCATCGGCCTGTGGTCCGGAGAGACCCGGGTTCGGTTCCCGCTAAGGGCATGTACCTCGGTTGCAGTTTGTCCCCGGCCCTGGTTGGTTGTGCGGGTGGCGACCACTCGATGTGTCCCTTTCACATCGATGTTTCTCTCTCTCTCTTCCTCTCTCTCCCTCCCACTCTACCTAAAACAAAAAATGAAAAAATGTCCTCGGGTGAGGATGATTAAAAAAAAAAAAAAAAGAATAATGAGGGTAATTGATCATAAAGCATTTGATGAAAAAAGAAACGCACAAGTTTACAGCATTTCTCAAGAAAGAATGAATGAGCCCTGGCCGGTTTGGCTTGGCAGTTAGAGCATCGGCCTGAGGACTGGAGAGTCCCAGGTTCGGTTCCCACTAAGGGCACGTACCTCGATTGCAGTTTGTCCCCGGCCACAGTTGGGGTCGTATGAGTGGCAACCACTCGATGAGTCTCTCTCACATCGACATTTCTCTCTCTCTACCTCCCTCTATCCCTCCCGCTCTATCTGAAAATAAGTGCAAAAAAAAAAAAAGAAAGAAAGAATAAATGAGGAATTTATTTATTACAGAAGGATTGATAAAATTAGAAAAATCACCATCTTACAGTCTCCAGTTTAATACTTGATTTAGGCAAGGATCATCAATGGATGTTATATCTTGATTATCAAGTGGGGTTGCTACCGAAAGACTATGGAGTTCTCTGTCATAAATTGCAGAGTGTTCCATATTCTTTCAGTAGGTTACTGCAACCTGGCTTCAATATCAAGGTAAGGCAGAGATGCTGTGGTTTGTAGGGGAAGCAGGACTTCTTCTCTAGTCTTAAAATCTTTCTGACATTGCTGAATTCTAAGTAGTTATTGCTTCTTTTAGTAAGCATTGCCCTAATTTTTTCTATATTAAACAAATAAAATCCAAATTATCCCAGGAGTGGTTACCATTCAAATCTCTTATAAACTTCATGTTGCTCAGCTCAGTAACCCCCACCCTCATGGTCTAGTTTAAGAGAATACACTTGGAGGAACTCTGCTCTAGACTATTAGCTTGCAGAGTTAAGCAAGTTAGATAAGAAACTGAAATACCACATTTACGATGGAGTCATTGACACAGAGAAAGTTGGCTACTTTTAAAGAATCACATGTTAACTCAAAAGCATAGTCAGGAAATATTTCTAAATCCTATTTTAAAAACAAAGCATTCTCTTTAAACAACCTATAAATTTTTTACTTAAAAAAATTCTATTATTCCTTTTACTATTTTTTTAGACTTAAAATTTTACTCTTTACTCTCCTACTTTTTATTTATTATTTTTTTTATTAATTTGCTTTTGTTACAGATGTTTCTTATTTTTCCCCCATTGATACCCTCCCCCCCCGCCCCATCCCCAGCTTTGTTGTCTATGTTTATTGGTCATGCATACATGCATGTAAGTTCTTTGGTTTATCTCTCCCCCAACCCCTCTCCTCTGAGGCTTGTCAGTCTGTACCCCAACTCTATGTCTCTGGGTTAATTTTGTTCATCAGTTTGTTTAGTTCATTATATTCCACAGATAAGTGAGATCATGTGATATTTGTCTTTCTCTGCTTGGCTTGTTTCGCTTAGCATAATACTCTCCAGGTCCTTCCATGCCATCTCAAAGGATAAGAGATCTTTCTTTCTTACAGCTGCATAGTATTCCATTGTGTACATGTACCACAGTTTTTTTATCCACTCATCTACTGATGGACACTTAGGTTGTTTCCAGATCTTAGCTATTGTAAATAGTGCTGCTATGAACATGGGAGTACATATATTCTTTCTGATTGGTGTTTCAGGTTTCTTTCTTTCTTTTTTTTTTTTTTTTTGTATGTGCCCCTAGCAGGAACCAAACCTGGGACTCTCTGGTCCGCAGGCCGGCACTCCAAGTGCTGACCCAAACCGGCCAGGGCAGGTTTCTTAGGATATATTTCTAGAAGTGGGATCACTGGGTCAAATGGCAATTCAATTTTTAACTTTTTGAAGTAACACCATAATGTTTTTCCACAGTGGCTGCACCAGTTTGCATTCCTACCAGCTGTGTACTAGAGTCCCCTTTTCTCCACACCCTCGCCAACACTTGTTTGATGATTTGTTGATGACAGGTATGAAGTGATACCTCATAGTTGTATTAATTTGCATCTCTCTGATGATTAGTGACCTTTCTTCATATGTCTCTTGGCCATTCATATGTCCTGTTCAGAGAGGTGTCTATTCAGCTCCTCTGCCCAATTTTTAATTGGGTTCTTTGTCTTCCTTTTGTTGACTCGTATGAGCACTCTGTATATTTTGGAAATTAACCCCTTATCTGATGCAGAATTAGCAATTATGGTCTCCCATACAGTGGGATCCCTTTCCATTTTGATGGTTGTTTGGTTTTTTTTGCTGTGCAGAAGCTTTTTAGTTTGATGTAGTCCCATGTGTTCATTTTTTCCTTTGTTTCTCTTGCCTTTGGTGTTGTATCAGTGAAAATTCTGCTGTGTATGATGTCTGAGATAAAAATATTTCAGACTATATCACTATATAAGCATCACTCTTATTTTGTGTGTGCTGCTTTTCCAATAACATGGCACATAATTTTGTACAGTGGTTATGATACTCACCCAAGTTATAAACATGAAAAGCTGGTTTCAAATGATGAAATTTCTTGTTGTTAACAATTGATAGTAGTTGATGCAGTTATATTCAACTCTATATACACACACACTTGGATTAAGCAACATTGAGTGACAGCATTTGATTAGTGAGGCAATGCAAATAGGGCCAGTAGAGTAGGTTAGAATGAGTGGGAACATATCTTGTTTCCACAGCAAAATCCTAAACAGAGATTTTACATTATTTTAGCTGTAGTACTTTTATTTATTTATTTTTCTTTATTGATTTTTAGAGAGAAAGGAAGGAAGAGGGAGAGAGGGAGAGAAACATTGATGAGAGAGAACATGGATTGGCTGCCTCCTGCATGCCCCCCACTGGGAATTGAGCCCACAACCAGGGCATGTGCCCTGACCAGGAATTGAATCGGTGACCTCTTGGTGCATAGGTTGATGCTCAACCACTGAACCATACCAGCTGAGCTACTGTAGTACTTTTAGTGAGTTATTCTCAGTTAATCACTAATTTTTATCAAATCTCTATGACATGAACTCTAGTTAGTATTTATTGCTCAATATACAGCATTTAAGGGCACAAATTGTTTAATTGTCTTTCTCTTTTCTACAAAGTTGAAGACTTTTAAGTAATTTTTCTGTTTATAAAAATGTTGTATATGCACTTAGTAAATATGGATGCTTTTTTTTCAATGTAGAAATACTGTGCTTATCTATTTTTTTAAAGTAAAATCACACTGCAAATATTTTGTAAGCTGCCTTTTCTCATTTCCCAATTAACACTACATTATGAATACTTGAAATATCAGAAATAATATTTTACAGGAAGCATTATAAATAGCATTCAATCATATAAATATACCAAAACTAATCTTTGTTGATTAACATTTTGACTGTTTCAGTTTTTCTTTTCTTTGTTGCAACTGACATCTGTGTGTGTGTGTGTGTTGTGATTCTTGGTAAATCTTTGTAAGTTCATTGGTAGCATAAATTCCTAGCAGTGGAATTGCTGGATCAAAGGATACATGCATGCATCTTCTGTTTTAATAGATATTACCCAATTGATTTCTAGTAGTTTGTATTGATTTATAATTTTTTCAACAATCCAGGTTCATGCCTTTTTCTCTACAGCCTTAGCAGCAATGGGTGTCATCACCTTTAAAATGTTTGTCTTTTTAAAGAATGGACAATATCTTATAGCTTCAAATTTTTTTTTTATTATTATTTAGTGAGATTGAGCATCTTTTTAAAAACGTGTGTTGTCAAGTTTTATAATTATTGATTTATATGAAGTCTTTGTAAATTAAAAAATAAAACCCTTGCCTGTGATATGTGTTGAAAATTTTTTTCCACTATCATTTATTTTTAGACTTTGTTAATGGTTTTTTTTTTCATATATGAGTTTTCAAATATCATGTGCTAAAATTTAATCAATGCTTTCTTTTAGAAATTCTGGATTTTATGTCCTTCTTCTAAAGAACTCCCTCCCCTCTTCCAAGAGTATGAATAAATTGTGCAATTTTCTAAAACTTTTATAGTTTATTATTTAATACCTAAATGTTTGATTCACTATTAGCTTTACTATAAAAAATAAGTTAGAAAATTTTCCCTCAAGTGCTTTTCCCAACCACATATGTAATCCAATTTAGACAAAGCTAAGTGTCATGTTATTTAGGGACCAGCAAGCAGAGGACTATGAGTGCAACAGTATAAAGTTTGAATT